CCAGAGGAATCTTCTGTGCTTCACCTATGGAACCCTTTTCCTCTTTCCCTCTTCTACCCTGATAATCACTGTCCCACTGTCCTTATGTTTTTGACTTTTCCAGAATGTCATAACTGAAATCATTTATGTAGTTGTTTTAGATTAGCTTTTTTGGTTAGAAAAACCTAAGGCTCGTGTGTGTGTGTGTGTGTGTGTGTGTGTGTGTGTGTGTGTTTGTGTTTGTAGCTTGGTTGTCTAATTCTTTTTATCACTGAATAAGGCTGAATTGTATGAATGTTTAGAAGATTGTTTATCTTGTATTCTGTTGAAGGACATCTTGGCTACTTCCAGATTTTGGCAGTTATAAATAAAGCAACCATAAACATTTGTATGCCGAACTTCTTGTGGACATAAGTTTTCAGCTCATTTGGGTAAACACCTAGGAGTGTGATTGCTAGATCGTATGGTGAGACCATATTTGCTTTGTAAGAAGCTGCTAAATTGTCTTTCAGCGTGTCTGTACAGTGCTGCCTTCCTACCAACAGTGAGTGAGAGTTCCTGTTGCTCTCTGCATATGACACAGAGTTTGGTGTTGTCTGTGCTTTGGCATTCAGCCACACCATTAGATATGCAGTGGTGTCTTCCATGTTTAATTTGCAAGTCCCTAATGACATAAAGTTGAGTAGTTTTTTATATCCTTATTTTTTGCCTATGTCTTTTTATTTTTTAATTTTTATTTATTTTTATGTCTTTTTAAATCAAAAAAATTTTTTTTGAGCTTAGGAATCACTCCTGATGGTATTCTGGGGACCCTATAGGATGCTGGAGGTTGAACCTGGGTTGGCTGCATGCAAGGCTATCCTGCTGTACTGTCTCTCTGGTCCCCATGTTTTAAAAATTGGAATATTTTCACTATTTTTATAATAGCCCAAGAAGAAGCATCATTGTATCCACTTCACCTCTAAGATTTCATGGCACAGATCTTTCTTAAAAACTGCATGCAAATGTGTCATCATTATAAAAGTTACTTGCTTCCCCAAATATTCCTGTTACTTCCCCAGCTTTGTTTCAGATTTAAATCTTGATTTTGAATTTCCCTTACCAATGTTTTTTGACTGTGTTCTTTACTGCTTTCCAGTTTCCCATTTATTTCTTTTACCTTTTCTGCTGCTCTTCTCTTGGCTGGTCAGAATAGTTTATAATTTCAATCACTGTATTTTCCTTCTTCTTGCCTAAGGAAATACCTTGTATTATGTATCTTTTTATTTTCAGAAAGTGGGGATCATTAGAAACAGTTTCTGAGACCAAGACCCCGTGCTCAGGGGACCATATGGTAGTTGGAATTAAACACCTCAAACCAGCCATGAACTTCATCCCTTTGAGTTATCTCCTTGGACCTATAGTTGCTTTATTTTGTTTCGTTTTATTTATGTATTTATTGTTTTGGGGGAGTCACACGTTGTTGTTTCTCAGGAGTTACTCCTGACTCTGCACTTACAAATTACTCTTGGTCGTGCTTGGGGAACCTTATGGGATGCTGGGGATCAACTGGGGTCACTTGCATTCAAAGCAACCGCCCTGCTTGCTGTACTATTGCTCTGAGCCCTATTTTGTTCTATTAAAAGTTTTTAATTTTGGTGGTCCTGATTTTAGATCCTCAAACATGCAGGGCTGAGTTACATCCATGGCCTAAACAGTTACTTTTATTATTGTATTTATTTTTGGTTTGGGGGCCACACCGAATGTAGTCAGGGGACCATATGGTAGTTGGAATTAAACACCAACTACATTCGGTAGTCTACACCGAATGTAGACTACCGAATGTAGTCTGCCCACACGGCAGAGTCTGGCAAACTCCCCGTGGCGTACCCAATATGCCAAATACCAGTAACAATGATGGGTCTCATTCTCCTAAAGAGCCTTGAATATAATCTCAGGGCTAGGATGAAGGAGACGTTACTGGGGCCTGCTCGAGGCAATCAACGATTAACGGGATGATTTGTGATTTGTGTGATTGTGAAACATGCAGGGCTGAGTTACATCCGTGGCCTTAAACAGTTACTTTTATTATTGTATTTATTTTTGGTTTGGGGGCCACACATGGAGGTTCTCTGGGCACTGTAATAACTCACCCTGTGCTCAGGTATCACCCCTGGCGGTGTCTGGGGGTGATTGTGGATTTCAAAAGTAGAACTGGACTTGGCCACATGTCAGACAATTGCCTTAACCCCCTTAAATGGGTACTTTAAAAAAGACTTAGAGAATTTTATATTAAGAGTCTCTATTACATTTGTTTTGGTTTTGGGGGCTATACCTGGCAGTTCCTGGGAGCTTCTGTGGTTTGGTGTACCAAGTATAACCACCAGCTGGTTGAACTGAGTTCCTGTTTCTAAATTGTGTTTTTAAGTTTGTCCTTATTTAGAGCTATATTAACACTTTGCTGTTCCTAATGTTGCTAAATAGGTTGTACATATATTGGACTTAGATGGTGGCATGATTAATCATGGATACTTCTACTAAATTAGCATTTTCACTTGTTTATTTTACAATATACCTGGTAAGATTGTCATGCTGAGAGACGCATTTGATTGAAACAGATGTCCTGGGGGAGGAAGATAACATTTGCTGAGCTGTGTAATTTGTGGTAGGACAGAAAATGATAGAAACTGGCAGACAGGAAGGAGGAGTATATTATAGGTTAAAATACCATGATAGAAATTTCTCAGTCTGAAATGGAGGAAGAGACACTGAGAGATGTCAGCAGCTTATGTTTCTCTGTGTGTCTGTGTTTATGCCTATTCCTGTTGGAACACGAAGAAGTCTGGTAAGAGGCATGTAAAGCGGCATGAATGCTTCTGAAATTGCAGCGAAAAGCAGTTGCTTGGTCCTGGGCAGTAGGTTTGCAGAGACTTTGTACGTACTAAGGGATTGGCTTAGTAGCTATAAGTACACATGTGACTAACGTGCTGGCAGGGTAGGGTGGTGACCTGAGCCATGCGCTCGGTTATAAAGGAGTGTCCTGTATGTGGGCATCACAGTTGAGTAACAGTGTCTGAGAGGGTGAGATGAGAGTACAGCATTAGGAACTAACCCAAGAGAAAAATTCACGAGTTTGGGGAGGGCAGGAAGAAACACGCCCAAACGGTACACCTTTATTTGACTTTCTTTGATGTCCGGTTGTGGAGGCTGGGGTGGACAGCCGGCCAGAAACTCATGGGCTCAAGACTTATGTTTAGATTAAGTAGGCGGAATTTTCTCACATTCACAACTCCTTTTCACTTAACTGAAGAGTATCATTACAGCCCGCCCCCAACCCCCACATTTTTTGGTCTTCGCAGCTTGTAATAAGTCTTTTATCTAACTTTTTGGAATCTTGGATGATAGCATGTAATTCCTGCGTCCTGACTTTCTTGAAGTTTGTACTTTTAAACATATCTTAGGGCCTTCCTAGGTCCATCCCCAACCCCCAGCCCTTGTCAGTTCCCTTTTATTCTCTTCCCTCATGTACCCCCTTTCGTTCAGGGCATCTGTTCTGAGATCTTGCTACCATTTTTGGGGACACTGGCCTTGTGAAGAAAGATGCCTTATTCTCCAAATTGCCACCAAAGAGCTTTAGGTTGGGTGCCTGAGGTTGAAGTAGCGAAACTCCCTTATCTTTCTCCATGGCTCCTCCTACATACCTTTCTTGGTAGTCACTGGGAGGTGTAGTCCTGCAGCCTGGAAGGGAAGAGGCTGAGTGTGGGCCGGCCTTTACCCCATTATTGTTCCCCACCCCACAGCTCCTCCCCCCCCCCCCACGAAAGCCCTAGTTTCCCCTGTTCATTCATAAATACTCACCTTTTCTCCACTCTCCACTATGTCTAGTGCCATAATCCTCTACATATTGCCTTACTCATTTCTCTATCTACAGAGATATTTCTTAAGTTATTTATTGCTTCCTGGAAAGACAGTCACCCGAGGATAAGTATTTCAGTGAGGGACTTTTGAGAAGATGTATGTCGTTATATAAGTTATATGAAAACTTAAGTAGCTAAAGCGATTAAGACACATAGGGAGTAAGATCCTGGTAATGCTTGGAAATAAAAATTTGGAATGTTAGAAATTCTGTGGGCTATGAAGAGAAAGACCACGCAGATTGGCAGGACTGGGTTGTTGGTTCAAGTTTGGACCTTGATTTTTGGGTCTAATATGTCTCCCATGGATTTGGTTGTGGGTGAACACTTAGAAAAATCTCCCTCCTTTCATTTTTGACATTCTCTCAGGAACTCAAGGTCTATTCAGTAGAGTCTTTTGTATCCTGGATATGTTTCTTAGTAATTAAGTTGTTTCTGACCAGGAAACTTAGGTGCCATATTGTGTCTGTTTTCCAGCTTTGTGTTAGGAAGCGTACCCGTATACAGTTTAAGCTTCTTTCAGTTCGACTCATAAAGCCACAGCTCCCGACGGGAAAGTTCTATTTCATGTTCATAATTCAGTTATAACTTAGTGAGCAGTGGAGGAACTTACTAGGACTCTAACAACCTTCAACATTCAACACTGTAATCTCAAAAAAAGTGCCATTCTAAGAGTTCTGCAAAAATAGCTTCTCATATTACTAATTTAAAATGATTTCTACCAGGGGCGGGTGTGATAGCCCAATGGGTAAGGTGTTTGCCTTGCATGCGGCCGACCTGGGTTCGATTCCCAGCATCTGATATGGTCCCCTGAGCACCGGCAGGAGTAATTCCTGAGTGCAGAGCCAGGAGTAACCCCTGTGCCTTGCCCAGTGTGACCCAAAAAGAAAAAACAAACATTTCTGTCAGCATGAGAAGGACCAAAATAAAGTTGATAGGGTGTAGAAATGAAGCAGGAGAGGCTGAAACATGCCATGTGTTTGGCCACATGTCAACGGGTAATGCTGAGTACAATTGGGATATTTTCAAGGATATGTTTGGTGTTTCTTAGCACTTATATGAAATGTCACTGTTCGCCTGATTCACATGATCCTGGTTAAAACTAATGAATTTTCATTTTTTTTATAGGTTTAAATATTATACTGGACATGTATTTCTCATAAGGTAAGCCTCCCCCCCCCCCCCCCCCCCCCCATAAGTTAAAATGTTACTTCGTCACAGTTAGCTACTGAATGGGTACCTATTGGGCCACCTGGGTTTATGAGCTTTAGATGCAATTAGATGCAGTGCTCAGGGGGTCGGTTGTTATGCACAGAGCAGACAGCAGCAGCATGCCAGGATCTTGGGTACTGAAGGCTTGTGTGAGTATTTAGCACTGCTTAAGTTTGCCTTAGGATCCTAGAGCTTCGCTGAAAGTGGGTTTCCCAGGACTGTTGTAGCAGTGTCATAGACTAGGTGGCTTAAAATAACAGAAACTTAATCCCACTTGGTTCTGAAAGGCTGAGGGTCCTGAAATAAAGGTGTTAGGAGGGCCAAGCTTCTCTGGGAGAATTCTTCCTTTGACTTCCGAAGCCTCTGTTTGGCGACTGTCTTTGGTGTTTTTTGCTTGTAACTGCCTCACTATAGTGTCTGCCTGTCTTCACAGTATCTTCCCCCTGTCTGCATCTCTCTCTCCTTGTAGAGACACCCATTCACTGGATTTGAGACCCCACAAATCAGGGTTAGAGTGGTTATGCCTCTAAAGACCCCAAATATTATTTCCAAAAAAGGTCAAATTCACATGTTCTACGGTTGGAACTTCACCATAATTTTTTGGGGGAAGGGAAGGTGGGTGGTGACACAGTTCACCCCATGGTTGGACTTTGTAGCAATAATGATACGCTGTGATCATTTTAAGCCTGAATGCAGTTTTATTAGACACTAAAATATTTTGGCATTAGTAGAGAAATGTCAGTGAATGCCAGACTTCACAAGCCAGTTTAAGACGAATTAATTTTGAATGGCAGGGTATTGGTTGAGTATTGATTTTTTTTTTTTAACATTTAAAACAAAACAAAACAAAACAAAAAACCTAAACCCGGTCTTTGTCGGTCATTCGTAGGGCACATCTTGTGGTCCTCCTGAGGTAGACGTGAGGAAAATAGGACTGCAGTGGTTATTACCTGGAGCACCACTGGGTGTGGCCCCCTATAAAAATCAGATGGAAACAAAGTCGCAGTTTATTTGGGGGAGGGGGAGGTGTTTGCACCCCATTCTGGTGCTCAGGTGAGCATGTGGTGCTCTAGATAGGGGCAGCTATGTACAACACGAGCTCCTTAATCCTTGAACTGTCTCCGTGCCCCTCAGTTTCTTTACACTAATGAACAGTGGTTTTTTGTTTCTTTGGTTTGGTTTTGGGCCCACGTCCAGCAGTGCTTGGGGGCAGGGGAAGCCCATGCATTTGGGGAGTGGACGCAGAACTCTTATGTGCGAGCACACCCTCCAGCCCTTTGAGCTATCTCTCTGGCCCCGAATAACTTTTTTTTTAAAAGTCCATTTATATTTTATATGTAATGGGTAACAAAATTTGTATAATTGAGTAATTAAAAAAATTCTTTCATGTCTTTGATTGCTTTACAAAATAAAGAGAACTAGGTCATTGGACTTCAGCTTCAAATAGGGTTTAGATAAGGCGTGCCATGAACTTAGCTCCCAGCCTGGGGATTGCCTAATGCGTATTAGTTATTGGTGAGCCTCTTGAAGAAAGAATAGGTTTTAGGTAGCCATGAAAAGAAGGAAAGCTCTTGCCACTTTACTTTTGATAGTCTTATGTGTGTTATAGATGTAATCATTGGATTTAGTCTTAAATGAGTGGAAAATATAGACTAAGTGTAAGTTTACTTTTAATACAGGACAAATAATCATAGACACATTTGAGATTTGAAGGTAATGCATTTTTTCTTCAAAATATTTAACATTTGGACTTAGGGCTCAGGGGCTATTCTCGCTCAGTGCTCAGGGGTTGTTCCTGACAATGCCCGGGGGACTTCCCTGAATATGTGCTTTGGGTTCCCTCCCTGGCCCTGGTCATGTTTTTCAAAGGGCTAATGTCAGTCATGATACTTGTGAGTAAATATTAAAAGTTTGGGGCCAGATATTCAGCTCAGAGGTAGAGCATTTACCTTGCCTGTATGAGATCCTAGGTTTGGTCCTTGGCATTTTGGAAGCAAGCAAACAAACAAACAAACAAAAAAAAAGAAAGAAAACAAAAATTGTATTTTTTTTTTCTGTTCCCATTTTCTTTTTTTTTTTTTTTATTTTTTATTAGTGAAACACCATGAGGTACAGTTGTAGACTTACAAATTTTTGTGCTTGGGTTTCAATTATACAGTGATCAAATACCCATCCCTCCACCAGTGCCCATTTCCCACCACCACGGATCCCAGTATCCCTCCCACCCCCCATCTCCCCATCCCAAGAAAAATTGTTTAGACTGTGTTTAACTTTCTTCTTCATTCTCTTCCTCTTAAATGAAAAAAAAAAAAAAAAGAAAGCAGTACCAGCCCACCAGGCCATCAAGCCAGAATGTGGCACACCATCCTTTTTGAGAAGAGGTGAACATTACTGATTAAAAATGGCAGACAAAAGTGGGAAGCTAGTTCCAGGACAAGTGTACATCGAAGTGGAATATGATTACGAATATGAAGCAAAGGACAGAAAAATTGTGATAAAGCAAGGGGAGCGCTATATCCTGGTAAAAAAGACCAACGACGACTGGTGGCAAGTGAAGCCGGATGAGAGTTCCAAGGCGTTTTACGTGCCCGCCCAGTATGTGAAGGAGGTGGCCCGCAAAGCACTTATGCCTCCTGTCAAACAGGCCGTCGTGCTGCCCAACAGTTCAGTGAAGATGATGCAGAGTTTGCATCTGCAGAGATCCGCTGAGAATGTGAACAAGCAGCCTGAGCTGTCGAGTTTCGGGAAGCCCTCGCTGTCTGTCCAGGGAACAGGCCTTATCCGCGATGCCAATCAGAACCTGGGACCCAACTACACCGCGGGCCAGACGCTGAATCTGAGCCTGGATCTGACCCACAATAACGGCAAGTTTATTAACAGTGACTCGCACTCGCCGAAAGTTTCAAGCCAGAACAGAACGCGTTTGTTCGGCCACTTTCCAGGGCCGGAGTTCTTGGACATCGAGAAAACCAGCTTCTCCCAGGAACAGGCATGTGACTCTGCAGGGGAGGGCTCTGAGAGGGTCCAGCAGGATTCGGAATCGGGCGATGAACTTAGCAGCAGCTCCACGGAACAAATCAGGGTAAGAGTGAAAATGGTCTAATGAAATGCTGGCACCACTGCAACGAAAACATTCACTAGAGGTTTTATTTGAATTTGTATCTTGAGAAAAGTTAAAAATTGTTCTTTTGGTCTTAGGTTTTCCAAATAAAGGTGAGTTCTGTGGTGAAGATGGAGATTCTACATGTGAAGTAACTTGGGGTGCTCATAAGGGCCCACTTTATGGTTTCCCTAATTATTCAACCTTTTTTTAGAGTTAGAGTTACTTTAAGCATGGGAAAAGATTCTTCCCCCACTCTCTGCTCTCTTTTAATTTGGCATAAGGTGAAAAGCAAATGCTTATTCACCCGGTGATATTTTGTTTACTTCAACAAGCGTGTCAGTAGTATTACTCATTTGACTTGTTTCTAATATGTCTTCAGATTATAATGGCTTATGGGGAAATTTTTTAATAGAATATAACTCTTCACGGCAGAGCTGACAAGCTACCCATGATGTATTTGATATGCCAAACACAGTAACAACAAGTCTCACAATGGAGACGTTACTGGGCCTGCTCGAGCAAATCCATGAACAACGGGAGGACAGCACTACAGTGCTATTAACTGTTATCACTCTGTGTGTGTGTGTGTGTGTGTGTGTGTGTGTATCTCACAAGCTTTTACCTCCATTATGCATTTTTGTGTCTTAATCTTTAAGTATCTACTCTTACTTGTATTGAATAGTAGCCTCGAAAAACAGTTTTCTATTTGGTCTTTTTTCCTTATCAAACTTGAGATTAGTTTATGCTAGCTTATTTGTCAAGAAAAAATGTATTACATGTATGAAACTTGAAATTTGCATAAGTCTAATTTTTGTTTTGCTTTGGGGCTACTCCAGGCCCTGGGCCTCAGTCCCCAGTTGCTTGTGGTGGTGCTTCTGGGACTGAAACCCATCTTTCTTCATGCAGTAGCACATGCTCTAACCTATTGAATTCTCTCTCTGGCCAGGAAATCTTAAAATTTTGAGGGGGGGCACACCCAACAATGTTTAGGGGTTACTTCTGGCTCTGTACTCAGGAATCACTCCTGGCGGTGCTCAGGGGACCTTATGAGATGCTTGGGATCGAAGTAGGTTGGTTGTGTGCAAAGCAAGTATCCCCCACCTGGTATACTATTGCCCTCACCCTGGAAATCATAATTTTAAGTGAACTTGAAGATTGAGAAATTTTGGACTAAAAACTATTTTTTGGTGGGGTGTAAAGTCTTATCTCGCCGAAGGTTGTGTGTTCACGGGCTCACTGGATGGCTCTTTCTCACCGCCTATGTTCAGTGCTCTTGAGTCCTGTGTGTGGCCTGGATCAGGACGGCTGTTCTTTCTCTCAAGCTTGAGTCCCTCTCGCTCTGACTCCCTTCTCCGAGCTTACATCTTAGTTTATATAGCAGTCACATAAGGCGGTGACATAAAGGTGGGTTGAATACTGACGAATCAACAAAGAGAGGTAAGACCACTCCTCCAGGAGATTAACTCAAGGATAAAATCTCATCTACAGAGATTACTTCAGAACACTAGGAGATCCGCTCAAGGGTGGGATCCTAAAAAGGGTGTGTTCTTCCCTCAGTTAGTAATCTACTTAAATAGTTGTAATAAATCTACTTCTAATATTTTTAGCAATGTCATTCTGTATGAGCACAGTAAGAGATATAAATTTAGTTTGGTTCTTCCTGAGAACATCTCACTATACATTCCGCAGTCCTCAGGCCAGGTTAATCTTCCTAGCTCCAGCAGTCCTAGTCTCGTCGTTACTTACTTTTGGATCATGACAGCTTTGTCCGTGATCATGCCCTCAACTTATAGTTGAGTATCGTGGCTCTTTGGCCTGGCCCATTTCGATGCCAGGGTAGCTCACCGCTTGCCCTGGGTCCATTCAGTCCCTCGTCGGGACCCTGCTTTTGGGGTGCTAGGAACTAAGGGCAACTGAGTCAAGAAATCAGATGCCCAGGAGTAAATATTATTCGGAGTCAATCAACTCCCAAGTTACAAAGCATAATATTAACTGTCTTCCTGTGTCCATACAGAAAGGACATTGCTTACAATACAAGTTCAGTGTCCTTAGATGGGTGTGACCCGATAAACCTAAGCTACCTGAGGAAGGACAAAAGAGTGTTATCCTATAGTGGGGGATGGGGAAGTGAGGATATTGTTTTTTAGTCTGTATAATGACTTGTCTCAGGGAGAAGAAAACACCAGAATAGGTTAGGATCTCTTTTTTGTTTGTTTCTTTGTAAGGTTAGACTTTCTTGCTATCGCAAGTGCAAATTGTGTCAGACAGTTTTGATCAGCTGCCACAGAGTGTTACTTGCAACGAGAGCTATATTTTAGGATTTGTTGAGTCAGTGCATCACCATGGTGAGGCTGCTCTTTGGTGGTCGTGTTATAGTAGGACCAATGTCATTATCTGTACATTGAAATTTTCATTGTGGCATTTTGAAGGAAACTAGGAGAGAGGGAAGGTTCTCTTGGAAACTTCTGCTTCTTGAGAATAAGGCAGTTATGTGCAGCAGCACTGACCACTCACCATGGGAAGTAGCTCTCACCACAGTCTGGTGGGAAGCCTTGACCCAGGATTTATATTTAGTTATGCCGGCAGGCTAATGTTCTCCTTATTATCATCATCTTAAGCTAAATTCACTGCACTGCAAGTTCATGACTCCTAACCTCTCCTGTGCCCTTAACACTTTAGGAAATCTTATTAGATTTCTCTAGCTAGTTCTCTTGGCAGCTGTTCCAGATTTTTCCCATTTTTTTTTTCTCAGTTCTCTGATTCATTTGGCTTTCTGCCTGTTCTTTTATCAGATGACCTTGTCTCCTATTTTCACAGTAAAAATAAAAAACACGGGATGGAAACCACTTCAGGTTTGGGGAGAATATATTTCACAGTAATTAATAGCACCCTCTTTAGATTTGAATCTGGTTACATATCACTTACCAATTGTGACAATTGGAACAAATTACTTAACCTCTGTGTATCACGGTTTCCTCATCTTAACATAGACTCATAGAGCTGAGGATCAAGTGGTTACTCTAAAATGTTTGGAACTCTGCCTGCCACAAAAGTGCAGTGGTTATCTGTTACTGTTCAATGAGGTACTCCCAAATCCAGTGACTTAAAAAAAGCAAAAAACATTTATTGACTCACATTTGCGGGGGATGGGGGGGTTTGTTCAGAAACATTGTGGGTGGTTCTAAAGGCCAAGCTCTACCAAGATTGCAGTCTTATGCATGATTGGCTGGACTAGAGGAGCTAATTATTGATTTTTATTGTTTTGTCATACTTGGTGGTGCCACAGGTTGCTGTGGCCATGGCCACAGGTCACTTGTGGTAGTTCTCAGGGGACCTCACAGTGCTAGGAACCTGGCCTGGGGCTCCTACATGCAGAGCATGCAGTCAAGCCCTTTGAACCATCCCCCCCCAGTCCAGGAGTTAACTTCTCAGACTCTTGATTCACTCACCCGGTGCCAGCTGTCTCTCCACAGCTGGTAGAAGGTGGTTTCTTCCAGAGGGAACAATCCAAGAGAGAACAAAGTAGGTGTGACTTTGTCTCAGTCTCAGAGGTCACACGCTATAACCCCTTTGATTATACATTCAGCCCTGTTTTGTGTGGAAGGAGGCAATGTGGATTGTAAGTATAAAGAGATGAGGACCATTGGTACCACATTGGATCTGGCTGTCAGTTTGTATTCAGTGAAGTGTCATTGTATTATTTTCCTTTTTCAGCTTTCTTTCAGGTCTGTAAGTATTCCTTTATTAGTATTCTAGTGCAAAGGGCAGTCTTTTCCTATTGATTTTCCCCACTTTTTCTACAGATGTTATGCTAAGATTACATACAGCATTGTGGTTTTCTAGAGTCATTATTTATAAAGCTCTTTCCTCTCACATTTAAATTGGATCTTGGTTTTTCAGTCTTCCTGAAGCTTTTTAGCCTAGTCTTCCCCCCACCCCTTCCACCCTTTAATTTGATTTAATACTCTTTTCAGTGGCAACTTCTAGAGAATGATATGATTTCTTCTTTTTGTTTACTACACACCTCTTATGGATTCTTGCTCCTTGATACCCACCCCCTAACCTGCCTCTGCCTGATTTCATTTATAGTTGATAAATTTTCAGTTCTAAAGTGTGCATATAAATGAAGTCATGCTCTGCATAACCATTCAGGATTGTCTTTCATTCTGTGTGGTTTTCAAGATCAAGGTGTTTGCGTTTCTCTATTAATTCTCTTTGTTGCTGACCAGTATTGTAATACAGTGGCCACCAGTCACTTATTCTTAGCCCAGGGCTGTTCCACAAGCAGAGCAAAGGTCAAAAACTGCTGATATGCTGCCTTAATTATAACTGCCCTGACTGGACTGATGTGCAGGACACATGCGGGTCTGTGGGTATGAAAAGGTTCAAGAACACCATTGTAGGGTATGTATGTACCAGATTGGATAAATTGATTGGATGAGGCCACCCACATTGTGGGGGCAATCTGACTTATGCAGAAGTATACTGATCACAAAGCACCCGCTCATTAACGTCTAGGGTAATGTTTTTATCAAATATCTTGACCAACAGGTTTATTCTAAGAAACTGAACCATCATGGTCGAGTTCTGCAACTTAAATATTTTCTTACTTAGTTTTTGCATTTTAGTTTATTCTGTGTTTTACTTTGAATTTTTTTCTTTTTTGCTAAAATGTGAGCTTAATCTTTTCTCACGATGGATATTTATTTATGGGGCCATTTATTGAAAAGATTATCATTCTTCCATTATCATGTGCTTTTGCCTCTTTGTCAGTAGCAAATTGTCTGGGGCCAGGCTCAATGGTAAAGCACATGCCTATAATGCATATATATATGGTTCTTCTCTTTCCCCCCATCATGTATGTGCCCATTCTCCCTCTAATACCAAGACTTCATTGTAGTAGCATAAAATAAATCTTGAAGTTGGGTAGACTGACCTTTTTTTTTGGGGGGGGGGGTCACACCAGCGTTGCACAGGGGTTACTTCTGGCTCATGCACTCAGAAATTACTTCTCGAGGTGCTCAGGGGACCATATGGGATGCTGGGAATCAAACCCTGGTCAGCTGCATGCAAGGCAAACTACCCTACTGCCGTGCTTATCGCTCCAGCCCCAGACTGACCCTTTTAAATTTTTTTTTTTTTTTTTATTAAAAACACCATGATTTGCAAAGTTGTTCATTATACAGCTGTTTTGGGCATTTAGTGTTTCAACACTCCTGGTGTGACCTTCCCTCCACCAATACCCCCATTTTCCCTCCCATCCAAACCTGCCCCCTTAGGCACATAATAAATTTGAGTTATATTACTTGTTCCAATAAAACTTTAAGAAATGGCAAATAGAATCATCAGAAAATAAATCAGTAAGAGCCTTTTTTTGATTACTGTATGATTTTTAGCCTTAAGGAAATTAAACCCTTTAATACAATACAATAAAATGCTTATTCTTATTTACTCTGGAATCTGACAACTCTTCTTTTTTAAAATTGTTTTTACTATTGTCTTGGCTGAATAATGTTTACCAAAGGTAACAGTTAATCTTTTATTCCCTGTAACAGGTAGTTGTAACCTGTTGGGGGAAGGTCTTCACAGGTAAGATTAAGTTGACAACATTATCCTGGGCACTATGTGCAATCACAGATGTCTCTGTAAGAGGGAGGCAGAGGGTTACCACACAGCGAAGGTTGTGTAAAGAGGGAACACACGGTGATATGAAGACTCTGGCTTTGAAGATAGGAATGACATAAGCCAAAGAATGCCAGCAATAGCAGAAGCTGGAGGAGGCAGAAGGCAGACATTTCCTCCTGGAACCTCTGGAGGGACAGCAGCCATTATTAATGCTTTGATTTCAGCTCAGTGATACTGATTTTGAACTTCTGATTCTGACACTACCCCTCCCCCCCCCCAACTGTAAGGGCATACAGTTTTGTTGTTGTAAAGTATTGTTTGTGATGATTCTGTTTTTTTCCAGGATGAGTTCTGTGTTTTGTTTTTGGTTTGGATTTTGGGCCACACCCAGTGGTACTCAGGGCTTATTCCTGCTGCTGAGCTTGGGGGTCCCTCTTGGTGGACTCTGGGGACCATATTGGGGTGCTGAGGATCAGGCCCAGATCAGCTGTGTGCAGGGCACACACCATACCCTCTTTAGCTTTCACCCCCCACTCCCCGGAATGTGTTTTAATTAATGGAATGAATAGCTTTTTCCAGATCAGTTTCTTTCACATAAAATATACATTTAAGATTTATCCCTGCTTTTTTCATGTCTTGATAGTTCTTTCTGTTGTCAGAATGAGCCATAATTTGTTTATCTTTTATCTACATCTTAGTTGCTTTTAGGCTTTTGTGTAGCCATAACTTTCAGATTAGTTGGCTAATACCTTGGATTAATATAGTATTAATACTGTAGAATGTTGAACTATGTTGTCAGACTATTTACCTTTGTCAGAAACTTCTAACATGTCTTTCAAAGTGGCTACACCAATTTACATTCACATTAGCAATGAATGAAAATTTTTGTTTGGGTCTTTTCCAGCATTTGATATTTAGTATTAAAATTTGAGCCATTGTACTAGCAATGCAGTATCTCATTGCTATAATTCACATTCATTGATAACATGATATTGAGCAGTTTTACATCTGTTTATTCTTTTCATCCTTATATGTGCTTTGCTGAGGTTTTGGGAATTTTTGCTTATTTAAAACGAGTTTATTTTCTTACTCTATTTTCTTACTCAAGTTTATTTTAAGTTTGTTTGTTTTCTTATTCAAGTTTCTTTCTTTTTTTTTTTTTTTTAATTTTATTGAATCACTGGGAGATAGTTACAAGCTTTCATGTTTGGGTTACAGTCACACAATGATCAAACACCCATCCCCCCCACCAGTGCACACTCCCCACCACCAATATCCCTGGTATACCCCCTCTTTCCCACCCTCCCCTTGCCTCCATGGCGGACATGATTCCCCATAATTTCTCTTGGGCATTATGGTTTGCAATACAGACCCTGAGAGGTTATCATGTTTGGTCCCTTATCTACTTTCTGCACACATCTCCCATCCTGACCAATTCCTCCACAAGTTTATTTTTTTGAGTATCTGGTATTTTTGGGCCCTTTATCAAATATGTATTTTACAAATACTTTTTTCCATTTTGTGGTTTGTTTTTTCATTCTGTTAACTGTAACTTTCATAAACAGTATGCTTTAAATAAAGTCTAAAGATTATTATTGTTGTCACAGATCTAGATTTTTAGTGTTGTATCTAAAAACCAAATTCAATATTACCTATTTTTTAAAAATTTTTT